AGGAAAAAAGAGGGGGGAGGGAGGGAGGGAAAAACACTTTTGTACATATGTGTCATTAACAGAAAAAAACAGCAGACTGAATTCTTCAGTGGTTATCCACATGACCCTCTAGAAAATAGTGAGTCAGGGTGTACAACTTTCTTCAGAGGTCTTACTCTCACTTGCAACTAGCTACTGCTATGATGTGTTATGCAAACAAAAGGTATCCTATTTTTTTGTGTGTGTGTGTGTGCAATTGTCTCATCACTGACTTCATTTGGTTGCACCAGTTTGCCAACAGTTACATTTGATGTCAATAGACTGCAAAACATAGATAAGACAGTCCATACAATTTAACAATGATATGCCAACATTTTGTTTCTTGCTCCTAGTCTCATAGTGTTGAAATAAAGCTTTCTTCTTTTTTTGTCTGTCTTGTGTTTACAGGTGGCTTGTCTAATATCTTGCATTTTCGTCCTTATAGTCATCTATGCAATAGGACCTTTGCTGTACTGGCTGCCCATGGTACAGTAGTGCTTTTTTTATTATATATGTCTTGATTTTTAACTAGAATTATTGTGCACTAAATATTCTGGGAGAATACAATATCATGAAAAGCAGACTTCTGGGACTTGAGGTGTAGCTCCATGGAATAGTACTAACTGAGCATGCATGGGTTACTTGGTTTGATCTCCAGCAGTGGAAAAACAAAGGCTTCAAAGAATTCTGAAGGAAGTGTGGGCTGGAGAAATGGGGAGGAGAACAAAATCCATCTTCACAGCATATATACATCCTTTATCCAATAGACCTCAGCACTGGTGCTTCGTCTACCCATCCTCAGCCCTGAGCTCCCAAGTGATCCCAGCTACCACCCCAGTCTTAGCTTCTGGTGTTCTAAGTCCTAAATTTCCAAGGAAGAGTCGCCATCTTCATAAGATAACTGCCTAATACTCGTTTGTTTTTTGAAAGATACAAATATCTATAGGTGAAACAAATGACTAATTTTAGGACCCCTGTGAAGAAATAGATGAGATAAATGTATAATTTCTGTCACAAACATAAAATACAGTGACTCTAACAAAAAGGACCTCCAGCCTTGTGATATTCACCCTCAGAATTCCCTTCCTTTCTTTTTCTTATCTGCTGTTTTCAACCTGCATTAGTTTTGCTCTATGGTTTCCTAAAATTGATGCATCCCTAAAACACAAATAAGTTAATTTTAAATGAACAAATATTACTTTAACCTAATTGGTGACAGCTTTTCTCTACAATTTACAAAAGAAAAGAAAAGAAAAGAAAATAGCCAACAATACCTTGGTGCTTTAAAATTCACATTAAAATCTTTGTCCTGCTTCTTCCCCAACCTATTTTCCCTTTGCAGTGTGTCCTTGCAAGTATTATTGTCGTGGGACTGAAGGGAATGTTAATACAGTTCCGGGATTTAAAAAAATACTGGAATGTGGATAAAATCGATTGGGTAAGTAGCAGTTTGAGCAGACATTTCCTCTTTGGCTTAAGACATGCTACCAAGTATACTGTAATACTGTCATTGGCAGAAAAATATGCTTAACCTTTTGAGACTCATGGTTGAAAGCATGAACACAGAATTTTGTCTGTTACTGTTTTTGTTCTTTTTTTTTTTTTTTAGAATTTTGTCTTATTGTGATGAATATGCAGTTTGAAAAATTCCAAAGGTAGACTTGAGTGGATTGAGGGTACCCAATTTAAATTATGAATTGATTTTGAAGGCAGAGGTTACTAAGAAAGTACACACTGAGAAATATGATGCTTTTCATGTGCATGAAAACCCAGCATTAAATGTACGATACATGGATACAAGGTGGAGCGCAATAGTGTCCACATTCATGTCAAAACGTCTCACAGCTTGTTTTCCAAATGGATTAAACCATGGGAGGATTACATTAATAAGATATCTCTGGGAACAGGACAGATTAGATAACATTAAACACTGCTAAAGTGTGTTTTGGCTAACAGAAATATTTATTGTACTTACATTCTAGAGAAGCTGGCCTACATAAAAGCATCTCCAAATCCTCCCTCTCTCAGGGGTGAGTGAAGAATTTCATGAGTAGCCATGGTTACAAGCCCTACACTGCAAGTCACTTGTCCTATTGAAATGCCATGACCTGCATTTGCTCTTTTGATCCTTTGTGCTATGAAGCTTTTGAGCATAGGCTGGTACTTACTTACACAGTGTTGCCTCTGTGACTCTTAGCACAGCACAAGGCTGAGTGCATGAGGGATTCTGATGAAGACTTGACCTTCTTGACACCATTTGTGAAGGAAGAAGGCACAGAAACACAAACTTATTATTCACCATACGTCTTTTTTTAAAAGACTCGTTCAAGAGTCACTCATCTCTGTTTTGTGTGCCATTATCAAGTAGTTTTCTAAGAATTTTCACGGAGTTTATATTCCCTGAGCCATTTCATTTTCAAAATGCTGGTCATTTCATATGCCATAAGAAAATGTTAGAGTGTCCAAAATGCTTCCCCTTGGGGTCTTTTAGAGCTGGCCATGTTTTCAGACATTGATAGATTAGGTAGAGAAATCACAGTCAACATAACTCTTTTATGTGAGCATGCTTCTCCAAATTAATGCTCCATGACCTTTATTCTTCCTTCCCACAAAATTCAGTAACATCATTTTTGACTATTTCTGTGGCTTAGGGTACAGTATAAAATTTCTGTGAACCTCATGTTGGACCTCAGGCTACGACTTAGTTACAAAATGTTTATTCTAACCTGTACTTTAATATTGTTCTGCAAATACATGCTCTGCTTTCTCATTAATGAACCATTTATTTACCAGTTTTTTAAATTTTTTAAATTTTTCTTGTGTGCTATGTATGTTAAGATATGTTCATCCTGCTTTACACTTTAAATAGTATTTTATATAAATGCTGCTTTTAAAGTCAACTACTTTTGTTTAGCTTTTCCATCTAATTTTCTTTTTCTTTTAAGAATAGGTGTGTTCTTGGATTTCCATGTGAATCATTAGGCTTTTCTTTCTTTCTTTCCCATAAGATGCTTATTACATGTCCAAACCAATTCTTTGGCTTTGTTTCAGGTTTGTCCTTCTTTTCCTTTCATTGCCTAGGTCTCCCAGTGATTCTTTTACGACCATGTTCAATGTGGTAGCAAGATGGCAAGTAAACAGGTGCAGCCTGCAGTTCTAATTTTAGGCGTGTCTGCTTAAGATGTGTTCCTAATTGAGCAGTAGCTTTAGAAATTAAAGGGTGCTTGGTGATGTGACACTGTCACTTCTGCATTCTCTGTCTTCCTTCATCTCTAACTGTGACTGTTAGTTTTGGGCATCTAAGTGAGTGACACTGAGCAACACTGAGGTTAGTAAAGTATGACTCTGGATATGTCAGCCACGTTGCTTCTAGAGAGGATAAACTAAAATGTAAAGATCTGTGCTGAATGTGACCAAGGCTGGGGACCAGGTGAAGGAAAAGAAAAGGCCATTAATAGTCAATGATGTGGAGTGATTTGCTTTGCCATCCCCTCCCCACAACCATGGCCTGAAATTGTTGAAGTAAACAAATCCTGTCTGCTCTGAGGTGATTTTCTCTAGTGTTTTGTCACAATAGCAATGAAAATACTAGCGGTTTTTCTCTGGTTGGGAACAAGATAGAGCAACACAAATGACAATGCGGGTTTGATGCAGTCGGATTTTATCAAAAGAATCTCTGTGGTGTGCTAGCCTCACTGGTGACCCAGTCTCAGCCAGAAAAATTCAAAGCTCTGTCCCTACAGATTTTCCCAATAAGATGATTGCAAAGACCTTGAAAGACTACAGTTGATTGAAAACAGGGAGTAAGTTGTGGGATTCCTTTGTTTTTCTTAATTATCATCCAAACTAATGCGTATTTGACAGGTTTAGATCTTATGTATAGTTAGGGTTTTCTTTTCTTTTTTAATATTTTTTATTTTAGAAGGACTCATATTTACATATCAATCCTCCCATTCCCTCTCACTCCCATCTTCCCCACTGACACCCCAGCCCACCCCCACCCACTCCCCAGGGATGGTGAGGCCCTCCACGGGGGATCATCAAAGTCTGTCACATCATTTGTGGGAGGTCCCAGGCCCTCCTTCCCATATCTGGGCTGCAATAGTATCCCTCCATAGGGAATGGGCTCCCAAAGTCCATTTGTGCTCTAGAGAATAAACACTGGCTCCACTGTTAGAGGTCCCATAGACTGCCCTGACCTCCTAGCTGGCAACCACATTCAGAGGGCTTGGTTCTATCCAATGCTGGTTACCCAGCTTTACAACCAGGGCCTCCTTGCTCTCACTAGATCAGGTCAACTGTTTCTGCAGGTTTCTCCAGCACAGTCTTGGCTCCTTTGCTCATCCCTCCTCCTTCTCCACAACTTTATTCCAGGAGTATGGCTTAGTTTTTAGCTGTGGGTGCCTGTTTCTGCTTCCATCAGCTACTGGATGAAGGC